CACGGCTTCATGTTGGACTAGACCCTCTCCTTTACCTGTTGGGTTTTACAAGAACTTAGTAGCTTGGACTGGGCCTCCAGTGTTTGGTTCAGTCTATATCTGATTGAATTTAGGCCATGATGATTGATTGAAAAAACTGCATTATCCTGTAGCTCATGTTTTTATTACTTGCTGGGTCATCGATTGTTGTTATATTATGAAGTTATGTCAAGTTCTACTCAGGAAGCCTTTCATAGGTAGCTCATTTGTGAAATTTGACTTCTGATAAGTAATAACTAGCGAGTATGCCTTTCATAGTCGGCAAATTTAACTTCATGTTTTGATTAACCGGACATTCCACCCTTTGCATCAGCCCCATCATGTAAAATGTAGAAGTAGTCATGTTGGTTTTGTTTAGTGCACTCAATATAGTATTATTTATATTTGAGCAGGGGGTCTACAAGAGAGGCAGCATTGGCTTCGTTGGTTGATGCTTTCGAAAGTTTTATGCTTGGTGGTCTTGTTGAGAACAAGTAAGTTAGTACATTCTACTGACCAATCTTTATTATTGCATGTGAAGTCGGTAGTTACTTGAACTGTTAGTATAGACATACTAGACATTTGCGTATTTCATATGCACAAAACACTTCACATCTCAAGCTCAAAATTTTATCGCTAACCCCTGTCCTTTTACATCATGGCTCCCTCTTAACTACAGATGTATTTTTGTCCGAATCCACTGTTTAATACTGTTACCAAATTTATTTTCTCTTCTGAAGATATGCCACTCTACTGAGTCTATTCAATACTTCGATCAAGAAGGGATCTACCAAGGAGGCTTGCCTGGCATCTCGCGCCATTGGTTCGTCTCCTATCCATTAATGTTCTTTTCCCCAGTTCCACCTCTTTGGAGTTTGCTTACACCGTTTTTGGCTGTTGTGTTCTTGATTTGCAGGGCTACTGTCTATTACACTTGGTGCTGGCAGTAGCTCACATGAAACAATGGTAGAATCACATCCACAGCTTTCTAAGGTCCTTCAAACCTGGTCGGATGCTTCAAAGATGATCTCTGTAAGTGAAAAGTTTTTCTGTTCTTCTAAGCTTCCAGATTTCATTTACATTTTCAGTGATGTGATCTATGTTGACATGTTGTAGGCTCTTGACTGCTTGGCCGTCGTCACATTTGTTGGTGCAACTGATCTGGCTGAAACAGAGGTATCTTTGAAAGCCATGTGGGATGTGATTCATCCAAAATCAGGTTCAAATGTATGTATAGGTGCCGTTGATTTATTATCATATTTTGTGAACTGGTTCTACAAAGAACTCTATTTGATATTTTTGTGACTCCCGACTTACCTGCAGGTCGGTACTGTCCGGAAACCAAGGCCACCTGTGTTAGCAGCTGCTCTATCTGCATGGACTTTTCTGCTAACAACTATTGGTTCATGGCGGATAAACACTGATAGCTGGAAGGAGTCAGTAACTCTATCTCTCTCCCCTCTAAATTATATCATCCATTTCATTATTTACTTATTTTATGTTTTACTATTTGCCAGGCCAATTGCGTTTCTCTCTACTCTTCTAGGAGCAGAGGATCGTGCTGTTCGGATGGCTGCTGGTGAAGCATTAGCTTTGTGCTTTGAGTTAAATCTACTTGATATCTCCCCTTCTGAAGATGCTGATGATGACACTGGAGTACCTGGTAGCTCTAAGGGCAAACTTTTCCTGGATATGCAAGCATTGAAAGCCAAGATAGCCGGTCTTGCCTCAAATCTCTCTGCAGAGGCAGGGGGCAAAGGTGCAGACAAGAAAAATCTTTCTGACCAAAGAGATCTGTTTCAACGGATTTTGGATTTTGTCAAGGTCTGTTTCATTTCCATTCTTACTTAATTTTCAGTTTTGGTCTCTCTTCCAAATTCTTAATAGCAAACTGTTTCCAGTATGGCGAGTGCCCTGAAGAATCAATGAAGATTGCTGGAAAACGTGATGTTTTAAGGGTTGCATCATGGTCTGAATTGATTCAGGTGCTTGCTTCTTTCTTTCAGTGGTTCCTGAATTGCTCTGCATTTTCACATGTCTTGGCTAATTTCCCCTTGATCATCAGTTAAACTTCTTCAAACGATTCCTTGGGAGAGGCTTCCTGAAGCATGTGCAGGTAACTTTTTTGGAGTGGTCTGTTTTCCACTGTGCTAATTTACTTGTGCATGTGGCAAATGCTAGATTTGTTTTCTATACAGGACAATGGACTTCTTCAAGATATCTTCAACATCAAGGCTGACAAGGCTGAAACGCTGTCATCGAATGACAAGGTAAAACTGAGACATTGAAGCCCTTAATTTGCAATGATGGTTGCTTTGAAGAGCTTTAATAAAGATAATTGATTTGGTCTATGGAGTTATTTACGAAATGTGAATGAATTATGCCTACCCCAGCAGTCTTAGACTTCTGACCTGTTATATGATTGATTCCATAAAATGCCAACAGCAAAGACACAAAACACGCTTAGCAAGGGATTAGGCTAGATTAAACAGTTAAGGTATGATTGATGGTCGATGTGTCTTGGGGTATATATATATGCTTGTGGATTCCTAGTTAGAGTATGAATGAGACAGGAACTATTATCCTTGAATATCTTGTGTCAAACTTGCTCTGCTGAGGACAAGAAAGAGATTGCTCATCGTTATGATTCAAGCTGTACCGTTAGAGGCTTTGCTCATAGTTATGATTCAAGCTGTACCACTAGAGCCTGCTTTAGCGCATCTGCTTCCCTGTGGTCGCTGATGCTGGAAGTGGGAGAAATTACCTAGCACCAACGCTAAGGGGTGTCTGGTGCTCAGATAGAAGAAAGGCTTACAGTTAAGCTTCACTTGCTTAGGAATGCACATATGCTTTTATGGTTTCAATCATCTCATGATCCTCACTCCCCAGAATGAGTAAAAGCAATCTCTGTTCTTCCGTGTTCTCTTCTTACTCCATCTATCCATATATATAGGGCCTAATGCGTTTTTCGAGCATGTGTTTTCAAACTAAAGACTCCTTTTCAGAACCGTCTAATGCTTTTTGCTTGGTTGTAAATGGACACAGTTTCTTTATTTTTGTATCTCTTGTCAACTGATAGATTCCTGAACTTGAGAAATTGCAAAAACACCTGCAGAAAATCTTTAGATCTGGAGAAGAGAAAGGAAGAGCTCTGAAGCTGAACAAGGATCGTCGTTTAGCACAGGTGGATAACTTGTTTCCTTTACTTCGTATTTTGTTTCTTCTGGTGCTTAAGGACTATAACTCAGTGGGGGGCCATTCCTTGATCATTTATCCCTCCAGTCTACAAATCCTCAAGTTGACAGATAAATGATGCTTTTCACATCGCTAAGTGAAACTTATAAACGTTGGCTGTCAAATCTTAAATATGTATGTTTGGGACTTGATAATCATGTGTATGTTTGGAACTCGAAAATCATATGTGTAGCTCTGGGCATTTTCTTGACAAATTGTTTGCTGTCATTATCCTTGTTATTATGGGTGCATTGCTACCCGTCCCCACATCATTTCTCCCTGTGCATTGACTAATCTTGGATATTTCTTGTTCATTTCAGGAGAGGAAGAACGCTGGCATGTTTGACGAGTAACAAGAAAGGAAACAAAACCTCATCGGACCGTCATTGTACTCCTTTTGAGCTGGAATTTATTTATATCTGTGTGAACAACTACATGCAGAATGTCCTAGAGTCTGCTCTCCTTGACTGTCGTCTAATTATGATTATGATGGCTTGCTGTACTTGAGAAATACTTGGCCGAAATGATTACTGCTGTTATTATAATGTCCCATGTGCGTTTACTTGTGAACTAAGTTCTCTTAGTTTAGTTCAACGAGTGTCCTGTTGTGTTAAAAAAGACACCCAAAGCGTGTTAAAAAACTAAACCATGGGGCCTGAGCGTCCGGTGTATTCGATCTGGAAAGCCATCGCGGGACATCCATATTTTTTGAGAGAGCGCTACATCTCAGGATGAGCTTAACCAGGGCCACATGACCAGACGTGCTTAAAACGGCATATATTCCTTGGGTTTCGAAGTTTACCGTCCAAAGGAGGGCATCGATCTATACAGAACGAGCAAAGGTACAGCGTGGCTTCTCTATTTATCTGCGTGCTGGTAGGAGTACGTCAAAAACAGGGCACCGGTAGTTTCTAAGGAAAGGCGAATAGAAATAAAACAGATGCCAGATCAGGCACTAAATTATGTATTCGCCGTTGATGAAGTATACACAATCAGTTGTACCTTCCATTGTCCGGGGAGCTCAACGCAGTATCTTTCCAGCCTCATGCCAGCATTGTGAAAATGACTGGGAAACCCATTCACGATTCATCTGCTGTAACGCGCCACCAGTTCCTTGCCTACTTGTTGTTGTCTGTCTCCCCTGTTGGTTCATAATTCATCTCCTTATCCATTGTCTCATTTAGGCACTATGAATGGAACGTGCCACGGCACCTGAACTTAACCAAAGAGAAGAAAGCTACTGTGCCTGAACAAACTGGATTGGTCCAAATAGGCCATGGGATACCAAAGAAAATCACATCGGCAGCACTGTGACCCCAATATCTGTGGCAGAATTAGCACACCCATCTGTCACTTGTTTACGAGGCACAGATCAACCATAGACTGTATAGTTAACAGATCTCTCACGATAAGGGGAATTCTTCGGCCAGCAAATCTGAATTGGTCCGTGCCCCTGGATTAGAATGGTATCACTTGTTTATTTACAACCAACATAGCTGGTAATATAAAGCTGGGATACGGACTGGAGGGAGGCATACGAAACCGGCGGTTCGTGGTTACTGGTCGGGTAGGACAGTAAACAAAAGATCAGTCCAATATTCCTCTGAAAATCGAGGTGCAATTTTTGGATCTGATGAATGGTAATTCACTAACTGTTTCAACTGCTAGTAACTGACTGAAAACCAGCCAAGTTTGGATGCGGATTCAAAAAGAGAGCCGGGGGTTGAATCTTAGACGAACCGAAGAGTTCAGGGTTGTAAAGTGGACTTCTCTCATTCAAAAATTGTCCACTGGGACCCCGTGAGATAACTGGCTATTGTCAGTAACCGGTACCAGACATGATCCTATACAGTTTATGTAATTGGCTTTTGAATCCTTGACTTAAGGGCATCTGTTGGAAGGTCCACTGCCATGACAGCAAGCAAACGTACATTCACCAATAATTACCACATGAACATTCTCCGTCCTTGAAATGATGAAACCGCTTAACATCCCTAACGACAATCTCCCGTCCAACTGCCAGTGACATGAACATCATCGCAGTATGACAATCGCCGCATATTCTCAAGTTTTTAAGAACTGTAACTGTAGCTCCAAGAGGCAAGTTTAGAAGTCCAAAACTAACTGCCAGTTTCTCACTGTGCGCAAATAATACGTATTCCTTTTGATGGGGTGCCATATCTTGCAGGACAAACTTTGTATCAGGAACATATCCCAGCTTTCTCATCTTAGCACCAACCATTTCAAGGAACTTGTAGACTTCATGCGCTTCCGGATGTTTCGTGTCACCAACAACAAACACGTGAACCTTGTTTCCAACTTCTATCCAGCTGCATCCGGGTTCCTTCTTCACCCCACGATCACGCATTAGCTTCCTTACTCGTGCAGCATCAACCCAGCGTCCAGCAGCTGAATATGTGTTGGACAGTAGTATGTATGTGCCATCATGCTGCGGTATCATCTCAAAGAGCTGATCCGCCGCATAAGCACCAAGTTCCGTATCTCCATTAATCCGACAGCCAGAGAGAATTGCCTCCCAAATGGCAGGGGTAGGCTCAAAAGGCATCGTCTTGATCAAATCCATTGCTTCTCCGATTCTTCCAGCCCGGCCAAGCAAATCTATCAGCCGGGCATAGTGATCTTCTCCAGGGCTAATGCCAAAGTCCCTTTTCATGGACTCAAAATATTGAAATCCTTCGTCTACTAAGCCAGCATGATTGCAGGCTGTTAAAATTGTGAGGAATGAAATCCGATCAGGATATATGCCTTTAGCAACCATCTGGTCAAAGAGGTCAAGTGCCTCTCTACCGTGTCCATGCTGCCCAAGGGCTGCAATCATGGCATTCCATGAGACAGAGTCAACATTGGGCATCACAAGGAACACAAGACGAGCATCTTTCACAGCACCACATTTACCATACATGGTTAGTAGTGCATTTCCCGCAGAATTGCTTGCCTCGAAACCACACTGCACAATATGTGCGTGGAGCTGCTTTCCATGCTTCAACGCTCCAAGTTCACCACATGCAGCTACTGCACCAGCATAGGTGTAATCACATGGCTTGACATCCTCAGACCTCATCTGGTTAAACAGCTTCAGAGCATCTTCTGAGAGACCTCCGTGAACATACCCCGATACCATCACCATCCATGATAACTCACTTTTATATGGCATCTCCTTAAATACCCTAGCTGCATTGTCCAAGCAACCGCTCTCGATATACCCTGACAAAATGGTGTTCCAAGAAACGACATCCTTCAAAGTCATACTGTCAAATATCCTTGCAGCAACAGAAATCTTCCCGGACTTGGAGTATAAGGTCACCAGCGCATTGTTAACAGGTAAAGCTGCCTCAGGAACAAAATTTGGCTGCAACCGAATGAACTGCCCATGGACAGACTTCCCATGAAGAAAGAAACCAGCATTTGCACATGCACTCAGGACGCTAGTAAATGTGAATTCGTCAGGTGGTATCCTTTTCGACACCATCCTCCTGAACAGCTCAAACGCCTCTGCACACATTCCCGATTGCACATACCCAGAAATCATCGCATTCCACACGACATCAAACTCTGCATCAACCTCTTCAAAGGCTGATCTAGCAGCATGGACATCGCCTTTCCTGACATAGCCCACGACTATAGTAGTCCACGAGAGCTCATCCTTAACCGGCATTTCGTCAAGCACCTTCCGTGCGTCCCGGGACACCTCAGGTGCATCACATTTCATGTACAGCGCAATGAGCGCGTTGGACACCGACAAGACAGCCCCGGCGCCCAGTTTGAGGACGGCTCCGTGCAGCTGCGTGCAGTGCGACGCCGCGAGGTTGTGCATGTGGCCGACGGCGCTGAGGAGCGCGGTGAAGGAGTAGTCATCGGGGCGAAGGGAGTCAGAGCAAAGCAGGGAGCGGAACACGGAGAGCGCGGGCGCGGCGAGGGAGGCGCGGGCGAACGCGGATATCATGGCGTTGTGGAGCACGGTGTCCCGGCGGGGGAGCGGGACGGAGTCGAAGAAGGAGGCGGCATCGGGGAGGCGGCCGGCGACGGCGTAGGCGGAGACGAGGGACGTGGCGGCGATGGGGCCGGGGTCGGAGCGGAAGAGGATCGCCGGGGCGGCGAGGTCGGGCGAGAGGGTGTAGAGGTGGAGGAGGCGGAGCGTGAGGTGGGGGTGGGACGGGTCGTGGAGGAGCGCGGCGGTGAGGAGGCGCGCGTGGAGGCGGCGCAGGGCGCGGAGGAAGGAGCGGGGGGAGGCCGGGACAGGGGAGTGGCGCGCGGCAAGCTGGCGGAGGAGGACGGAGCATTGGTAGGGGAGGGAGGCGACGGCGTGCAGCGGCGGCGGCGGCGGCATCGCTCGTCGGCGTTGTTAGGCGGTTTTGGGGCGCGCGCAGCAGCCCATGGTTCGAATGGCGATGTGCCACGGCCCACGGGGTCTTGTTTTTTTTCTTTTGAGAATCTTGTTTGGGGTTTAGGCGTTCTGAACTCTGAAGAATGTTCGTTGTGGTGGTTCTGCCTCAAAATAAAATAAAATTTGTTCATGTGGTTTCCTAAAAATAAAATGTCCATTGTGGTATAAGAGAGGTACCCATTTTTGCAAACAGAAACTTGGGAATGCCCAAAATTTGTGTAGACCAAATTTGAGCAAATAAACGAGCGCTGAAAAATACGACGACGAAACAACTGAGTGGAAGCAAAATTACTCTAGCTTGACAAAAATTTGGCAGCAAACTAAGTTGGCGTTAAGTTTTCACTACATCATTGTAGTTTGGTTTTCCATGTCCCATTTTGTAGGGATATGTTAAGTTCCACTATGAAGACAATTCGAAGATGCCATGTTATGGTTTAAATGAATGTACTTCGGGTAAAATCAATTCGGGTTGCCAGCAAGAAGTTTTAGAAAGGAAACTATTTTTTTTCAAAACGGAGGCAAAAAGTTTGCCTCATCGATTAATTGATTAATTAAGAAGAAGAGAATTGCCCAGCTAATTTACGAAAAACGGGACGAAAACCAATACAAACGGACAAAACATGTCTTCTAGTTTCACGTGTTCAGTCTCTGCAATGCGTCACGTCCAATGAAACACTTTTCTCCCACCCACGAGTGACTTCGTGCCTAGGACTTTTCTCCTCCGGCTGGTGATGCTTCCTATCTGCCTCGTCTCTTGGGGCCTTAGAGCCATGTAAGCGCGGTGGATCCTAGTCCTTGCCAATGGGAGTGCTCATGCATCGTTTTTAGGTGTTTTCAGAGTCTGCTTATGGTTTGTGTCATGCTCAAAAAGACAAGGTGAAGGTGGCTCCCTAAATATGGAATAAGGTTCTCGTCACCTAACCCATGTACCGGCGTTGTGTCTCGCGTCGTCGCAGCATTTGATTGGTGTTTGTCTTCGGTGGACTCGCGTGGATCCAGTCTTTGTTCGTCTGCGCTCGTGTGTCTATGGATTGGATCCTTCTGATCTACGCTTCTTTTCATCGACGTGGTGCGCTGATTCTTTGTGGCCTTAGCACGATGACTTCCCAAGTATTTACTATAGCAGGGTTTGCTTCGCTCGTGTAAGCAAGGGGCGATGATGGATGAGCACTTTTGGCTTGCTCTTGTGCTTGTAGTCGTCGTTAAGTGATCTACGAAGATGGATGTATATTTTGTTATTTCCGTGTTCTTTACGCTGCCATGATATTTGATGAATAGATTGAAGTTTTTCCTGCAAAAAAGTCTATGCTATATGTCCTGTGTTTACTATTGCGAATGGTATTGCGTGTTTATTAGATATTCATACAAAACAAGCAGGGGGCTTCTTTTGTGACATATTACTTTTGTTATTTCATTTATTTTTATTTTTACTCAATGCAACACAAGTTGGATTTAGATTTCAGATTTGAGGCGATGTTTAATTAATTAAGGGAATAAAATCCATGATATTCTGAGGATTGTAGTCCTTAGGAATTTTTGCTCTGAAAGTTGTTTGATTTGTAGGATTGCAACCATAAAATATATTCCTATGGATCCATTTGTACTATATTTAGTAGAAAAAATTCAATGGAATCCAACCTCTTTGAAAAAAATTCCAACATTATGAGCAACAAACACCCTTCAAATCCTATAGAATTAAAGATGACATGCCACTGCAATCCTATGTTTTACATGTTCTTATGCTTTGAGAATCATGTGAATCATAGAGAGAAGATGTCGTGCTAGAACCAACAATTGTTTGAAATCTAGAAGTTTCACTTGACAAATCCATCTCTTCTTTTGTGTGGCAACGACACATTCTCCTTCTCCTATCAGAGGTCTTGTGGTACTAGGCCTCTTTGGTTCATGGAAAAGTAGAGAAAAATATAAGAATATGAAATTTTACTTGGGACCACTACTCACCAATTTTCTTAAAAGAAATAGAACAAAGAAAAAAATAGGGAGATTTCCTTTATCTTTGCTTCAAAGGGCATCTGAATTGCAATCTGCTTGGACACCTTTTTTAGATTTCTATGCATGATGAATATACCAACATCTTTAGTGCCATAAATGGATCTTCAAGAAGAAGACTGGCGGTGACGGTAATTTTACTGTCTACAAAGCTCGACTTGTTGCGAAAGGTTTTCGACAAGTTGAAGGAGTTGACTACGATGGGACCTTCTCGCCCGTAGCGATGCTTAAGTCCGTCCAAATCATGTTAGCAATTGCCGCATTTTATGAGTATGAAATTTGGCAAATTGATGTCAAAACTGCATTCCTTGATGGATATCTTAAATAAGAGTTGTATATAATGCAACCAGAAAGTTTTGTCGATACAAAAGGTGCTAACAAAGTGTGTAAGCTCCATCGATCCATTTATGGACTGGTGCAAGCATCTCGGAGTTGGAATATATGCTTTGATAGTGTGATCAAAGCATATGGTTTTATACAGACTTTTGGAGAAGCCCGTATTTACAAGAAAGTGAGTGGGAGCTCTGTAGCATTTCTGATATTATATGTGGATGACATATTGTTAATCGGAAATGATACCGAATTTCTGAATAGCATAAAAGGATACTTGAATAAGAATTTTCCAATGAAAGACCTCGGTGAAGCTGCTTATATATTGGGCATCAGCATCTATAGAGATAAATCAAGACGCTTAATTGGACTTTCACAAAGCACAAACCTTGATAAAGTTTTGAAGAAATTCAAAATGGATCAAGCAAAGAAAGGGTTCTTGCCTGTGTTACAAGGCGTGAAGTTGAGTCAGACTCAATGCCCGACCACTGTAGAAGATAGAGAGAAAATGAAAGTCATTCCCTATGCTTCAGCCATAGGTTATATCATGTATGCAATGCTGTGTACCAGACCTGAGGTGTGTCTTGCTATTAGTTTAGCAGGTAGGTACCAAAGTAATCCAGGAATGGATCACTAGACAACGGTCAAGAACATCCTGAAATACCCGAAAAGTACTAAGGATATGTTTCTCGTTTATGGAGGTGACAAAGAGCTCGTCGTAAACGGTTACGTCGATGCAAGCTTTGACACTGATCCGGATGACTCCAAGTCACAAACCGGATACGTATTTTTATTGAATGGTGGAGCTGTCAGTTGGTGCAGTTCCAAGCAGAGCGTCGTGGTGGTATCTACGTGCGAAGTGAAATACATAGTTGCTTCGGAAGTAGCAAATGAAGGAGTATGGATGAAGGAGTTCATATCCGATGTAGGTGTCATATCTAGTGCATCAGGTCCAATGAAAATCTGTTGTGACAATACTGGTGCAATTGCCTTGACAAAGGAATCCAGATTTCACAAGAGAACCAAGCACATCAAGAGACGCTTCAATTCCATCCGCGATCAAGTCAAGGAGTGATACATAGAGATTTTCAAGATACATACGGATCTCAATGTTGCAGACCCGTTGACTAAGCCTCTCTCACGAGCAAAACATGATCAGCACCAAGACTCCATGAGTGTTGGAATCATTACTATGTAATCTAGATTATTGACTCTAGTGCAAGTGGGAGACTGAAGGAAATATGCCCTTGAGGCAATAATAGAGTTGTTATTTATATTTCCTTATATCATGATAAATGTTTATTATTCATGCTAGAATTGTATTAACATGAAACTTAGTACATGTGTGAATACATAGACAAACAGAGTGTCACTAGTATGCCTCTACTTGACTAGCTCGTTAATCAAAGATGGTTAAGTTTCCTAACCATAGACATGAGTTGTCATTTGTGAACGGGATCGCATCATTAGAGAATGATGTTATTGACTTGACCCATCTGTTAGCTTAGAACTATGATCATTTAGTTTATTGTTATTGCTTTCTTCATGACTTATACATGTTCCTATGACTATGATATTATGCAACTCCCGAATACCGGAGGAACACTTAGTGTGCTATCAAACATCACAACGTAACTGGGTGACTATAAGGATGCTCTACAGGTGTCTCCAATGGTGTTTTTTGAGTTGGCATAGATCGAGATTAGGATTTGTCACTCCATGTATTGGAGAGGTATCTCTAGGCCCTCTCGGTAATGCACATCACTATAAGCCTTGCAAGCAATGTGACTAATGAGTTAGTTACAGGATGTTGCATTACGGAACAAGTAAAGAGACTTGCTGGTAACGATATTGAACTAGGTATTGAGATACCGACGATCGAATCTTGGGCAAGTAACATACCGATGACAAAGGGAACAATGTATGTTGTTATGCGGTTTGACCGATAAAGATCTTCGTAGAATATGTAGGAACCAATATGAGCATCTAGGTTCCGTTATTGGTTATTGACTGGAAGTGAGTCTCGGTCATGTCTACATAGTTCTCGAACCCGTAGGGTCCGCACGCTTAATTAACGTTCGATGACGATCGGTATTATGAGTTTATGTGTTTTGATGTACCGAAGGTAGTTCGGAGTCCCGGATGTGATCACGGACATGACAAGGAGTATCGAAATGGTCGATACATAAAGATTGATATATTGGACGATGTTATTTGGA